TGCAGTGTAAGCACTTGATTTGCCTACATTGCAGTGCTCACATTGGCAGCTAAACATTTTTAGAAATCTAGGAGTCATCTTGGGAAGGAGAGGGTTAAAAGGAGCCTGGACCAAGGAGCTACTAACTAAGTGCCAGGCACTTTTCACAAATTACGCTAACAGCCACTTTCCAGGGTAGTCATTATTATTCCTAATTTACAGACAAGGGAACCGAAACTCAAGGAGCTTAGAAGCTTGGCCAAGGTCATATCATTAAATAAGTAGAAGAGCTGGAAATCGAAGCCAGGCTTATCTTGTTAAGCTACCTCACCTTGCAGCCATCCCGCTATTTGTTCAACTGCTTCCCAGCCAGGAGCAAACAAAACATTGCATCAGTCAGAGGGGAGCTAAACAATCTCCCAAATGAAAGCATAGCCACGGCAGAGTCATCTTTGTCTAGAACCGAAGTCCTGTCCCGTTCCAAGCACGCCTCAGTGGTTTGAGCAAATGAAACCCATCAGGCAGTCTGGCAGCAGCCTCATCTCCAGCCTTATGCATGCTCTCTCTTCCTCACCTCATGCCGACCATGGCCGCCTTTGGATAGTTCCTTGAATATACCACGCCCTTGTCCACAGATATCCCTGCAGGTGTTCTTACTCTGGGTCTTCTTTCCTCAATTCCATGGCCACCTTATGTCTGCCTCCCTCAGACTTCCCTTAACTGTCCCCCTTCCTAAAGAGGCTTTCCCTGATACCTCATCCAAAGAAAGCTCTTCTCATATTGTCTCAGCTTTCAGTTTTCTTCTTTTTAGTTTTCTTCCCACCCCCTCCAGGAATACAAGCTCCATGAGGCAAGAATCATTCTTGCTTTCTGATATCATAAGACCTAGCACAGAACAATTCAATAATTTGGTAAATAAAGGGATATAAAATGAGAGAGAGGAAGGGAAAGAAGGAGAAGGGAGTGAAGAGAATGGGATATTTGGAAATGCATGTGGCCTGAATTTGTTTGTTGTAAGAATTTAAAAGGAGATAATGGTGAACACACACACATACACACATACTTTAAATTGTGCCTAGCACATAGTATTCAATGATTCATAAACATTCTTTATCAAAAACATATCTTTAACCTACATGGGTTAAGTGATAATACCAGAAAAGTAGGAAAATATATCCTCCTCCAAACAAAATTTATTATTCCCTAGGAGTTGAAGAAATGCAGTTTTCACAGGAATTGCACACCTGTGTCATAGTCTTCTGCATCACTGCCTTTCCCAGCTCAAACACCACCTTTTCAATCAAAGTGGAAAGTCTGTTTGTTTCCAACCTTTCTTATTGTTCTCCTCTTTTTCTAAATTGGTGGCAAACTTCCTCCTGTTGGCCTGGCAACAGCTGAGCAACAGCTGGAAAGGCTCATAGGCATGTCCCCTCCAGTAATCAGGAATGGACAAATGAAAGTCAGAATAAAGATAGACTAGGATGCCAGCAACTCCCTGTCCCAAAGCAGTGATACTGGTCTGAGACAAGTCACTTGGGGTGAGGGCTAAAGCTGCCAGCATTCCAAGTCTAGCTTTGTCATTGACTAGCTGTGTAACGTAAGGAAAGTTACTTAGCCACTCTCTTCTTCAGTCTCCTCAACTACAAAGCAAGAATAGTAACATCCTTATAGCGTTATTGGAAAGAGTAAATAAAATCATCATAAATAACTAAGTCATTGGCACAGAGTAAACACAATAAAACTTAACTATATTTCCTGTCTGTGTATCTGTGTGGGTATGTGAAATGTCATTAGCCAATGAAGATCTTTTCTAGCACGAATAAGTCATTCATTATTGAGTGAGTTAGATTTAAGAGCCAAACTAAAGATTTGGGGGTTTGATTCCTGTCTGAGAAAGCTTTCTTTTTTAATTTTCTATTTGTCTTTAAGGTAGAAAACAGTGTTGTAAAGAGAGAATGGAAAACAAAGATACCAAATCCTGTAAGAGAAAGTTCTTGATCCCTGAAATCCAGGATAAACCCTTGCAACTTAGCTCCAATGAAATCCTTGTCAGGTGGGGCATGACTGTGCAAGAAAGAGTGACAGAAAAGCTAGGGGATGACAATGAAATAAGAAGAACTCTTGTGGGAAACAGGTCTAGGAAAGGCTGAGTAAAAGAAGGTCCTGGGAAATTGGATGGAATTCAGGAAAATAAATAGGACTAAGATGGCTGATGTTAATCGATCACTTCCCATGTGTCAGGTTATTTCAAGGGCTTTGTATGCATTAAACGCATGTAATGCTTTCTTCAACCTTAAGGATTCCCATTTTACATGTAAGGAAACCAAGGCAGAGAGAGGTAATGTAGTTTGCCCAAAGATCACATAATTTCCCAAGAAGCTCATCCTTTAAAAGGATGAGCAGAGAGCTGGCAGAAATAGAGTTTGTTTAGAATTGGAAAGGGGGGGATATAAGGATAGAGACAGACTCTGAGTTTGAGTGCATTTATACTCATGTTACTGAGATTTTAAATTCCAAAAACTTTGGTATCATTTTAGAAAGTATTTCTTAAACTCTGATCTCTGTTTTATGTACCTTAAAAAAGTAAGTGGACTGTAAAGTCATAAAAGTTATGCATCAGTGGCATCTTTTGTTTGGACTAGAAGCAGTCTCAAGCTTGAGGGCGTGTATAGTTCTTCTACTGTAGTTGCAATCGTTTTTTGTTACTCAGTCTTGCTTGTCTCTTTCCTCCACCTTGCCCCAACAACCAACATATTCTAGTGATAATAAACATGAACACTAAAATAGTGCAAGAAAAATAACATAGTTTAGGGGCTTGCTATAGAAGATAATTTCTCAGACACTATGAAATCCCTTGCTTATTTTGTTTGCAACCAGGAAAGTTAGTTAATAACCATCTTTTTCCAACTCCTCTTGCAAGTGAAAATCCAATACAGTTCTTCAGTTAGGCACAGTAAAAAGAAATGCAAAGGCATTTGAAAAAGCTCACCCATTTAGATTTAATTACATACATAACTGGTGTCCTCCCAAGTGTGAAAATGCTGTAACCAATAAATCAGACAATAAAATGCTATCTGAGCAGAACAGATTTATAGAGAAGATGTGTGAGCAATCGAAATTCACTGACTTGCTTGCATTGGGTATTTTTACCCAGAAAAGTTCTTATATGCAAGAGCAAATTTCTGCTCTTGGAATCTTGCCTCCTTTTGAGCACTTAGGTCAGTTAGTTTCCCTAGAGGGTGTTCTTGTGTAATGACTTTTAAATGAACAGGCGATTTTAATCTTAAAATCATCTCTATATGTTAAAGAATCATGAGACCTGTGTTTGTATATATATATTTGAGGACTATCTCATTTGTTCACCTTTCTCACATGTTTAATTAAGAACTACTTAATGAAACTTAGTTCAGTAGAAAGAATATTTCATTTTTGCTGAAAATTCACAGACAAGGAAGACTTCAAATTTTGCAAACCAAATTTTTCAAAGATGTGACATTCAAACTACCAAAAAATGTGACATTCAGTATCTTCCCAGTATCTTCCCAGTATCATGGGGAAAAACAAAACAAAACTGTGTTATAATAGTAAGGGGATAATTCAATCATTGCCAGTGGTTTTGATCTTTATGAAATGAATGCATTTTTAAATGTATTTACTTTGGATTGAAATATCTTGCAAATGACAAACAATAAGAAAGTTGGGAAAACTGGAGTCTTGTTATCTGTTAGGCGTGCTTTTGCCAAGTTGAAAATCTTTGGAGGGTATAGGCTCATTGCATTTTTCATGTTCCCATTTGGAATAAAATTAAATGGACAAAAAATATTTTCCCTTTTAATAAAACCTTGTAAAAATAATACTTTAATACACTTTATAACTGTTGGTCAACCATGTTAAAGGCACAATCTGATCTCTGCAGACAGTTTCTATGGAAAAGAGCTAGTCAGCTGAACAACTTCCTCATTTGTTGTGCTTATGAAAATGAAAATTTAACAAACTAGAATTTCAAAACCACCCATTGTTACAAGTAAGGAAATAATAATAGCAGGACTTTATCAGTGCTTACAGTGCTCTTGGAATTTTCTTGGTTAATTCAGATAGCAAAGTGGCTCTCCCTGAGTGGGAATAGTTCCTTTCTTACTTTCCTTTCTGCATCACACCATAAAGCTCACTTCTTAAATGATCTCGGTTAGATTGTTTGTTTTATTTGTTTCTCTAAAAATTCTAGGCTCTGACTAGAAAGCAGGAATGTAATGGTGTGAAACAGGCGAAGTTCAGAGATCCTCCTGATTGACTCAAATAGGGTCCATTTCCTCCTTCTCCCTAACTGTGAATTTTTAAGTCTAGGTCTGGCTCCTGCTCTTGTTTCTCTAAATATTTATCAGCTAACAATTACATGCCAGCTCCAATGGCAACAAATTTGGCTGAAGAAATAAATAAGAAGGCTTTCTTTTCCCAAATATGCTAAATAATGCAAGGACCATGTAATGTTTTGTAACTGGAGTTTTCCTTCATCCAATTATCAGATTCAGGTCTTTTGATTTTAACACTTATTTGACATATAAAAATCAAGTTACTTCAGTATGCTCTGTTTTACTTCACTATACTCTGTTTCTCTCTCTCTCTTTTTTTCTTCCTTTTAAAAAACGATTTCCCACTTGTTTGCCTGTCTCCAGTAAGTTTCTCTAGTATTTGCCTCTTATACATGCTGGGTGCTCTGCCTAAAGTTAATAGAACTGCTTAGTAAAGTCCACTGAATCCTGGCACAAGAACCTATTACAGCGAAGAGCATTCCTTTTACTTAGAAATATTTTAAGAAATAAATTTCTGAAAAGTTGCCTGATACGATTTAGAATTCATTATGTGATCAAGACACTAAACCCAGACCTGCATTTTGCAAGCCTTTTATTTTTATATTTGCAAAGGGCTCTCTACACCAGTTTACTTAAATTGACCTTTTGTGCTTTAAATAAATGTAGTTTTTATAAAGCTGAGGCAAAGCAGCAAGCAGAAGTTGTACTAACCTTAGTATATTTAAACTTCACATTGGTGAGTGGGGCAGGTACATCTGGCATGGCTGAGGACGACATTGCTGGTTCCGCTCCTGGAACACAGGTGACAGGCTCAGCGATTTGGTTCTGATAGAGCACTTGGCTTTATTTGTTCCTTTTTATCTGCATGGGCTAAGGTTTATTTGCATACTGGGATATGATTGGATGAACAAACTCGGAGCACAAAGAAAACGACACTACTTATTTGTAACACCTAGAGCAGGAAGCCCTTGACTTTAAACTTAAATCCTTAAGAAACCAGTGCTCCAGCACTGAAGCTGCTTCCGGAGACAAGGCACTATTTACAGACGAATTAATTTACAAAGCCGAAACCTGTGATAAGGGTACGAAGCGCAGCTGCTCTGGCCACTAAGGCCAGTTATTATTTTTTTGGCTTTTCGTGCTTTTTATGTTACTGTGAAACTTTCTGTGTTCTGACGGACTCGGAATCAGAGAATTCGAGGATTGAAAAGGAATCTCAAAGGGCACTTGTTCTCAGCAAAGGCTCGTGAGGCAAGGACCCTGGCCAGGTGTCTTTAGGACAGTGCTATCTACGAATCTGTCCATGTCCCAGAAAAGCAGGGTGCTTTTTTTTAGGTCCTCTCTAGAGACCCCACCCCAAGGCCACTTTAAAAGAATCATACCCATCGAATGTATTTCAGTGCTTGGTAAGCAGACCTACTAGGATTTCAGGAGCTCTAAATTATCTTTATTTAAATTATCTTTATCTTTATTTAAGTGATCTTTATCTAAATTATCTTTTATATGTGGGAACAGAAATGTCAGCAGGATTTTTTAGGGAACTCAGACTGTGCTGTGACACACTCACACAATAGCAAATGGCAATATCGTCTGCTAAAACTCGCTTAAAATGAAAGTAACCTCTGGTTTTGGAAGTTGGCTGGTATTTATCAATCATTGACGCAGGCAGTTGTACCAAGAGTGAATTTAAACAGGACTCCTGAGTAATATAGTTTCTTAAAATGAGATTAATGTTTCAAGTTGGGAACATTCAAAAAGGACAATTTTTAACTGTACTACTCCCATTTTTAAGTATAAAAGTTTATTTTATCCAAAGTCTAGCAAAAGTTACCGTCACTACAAGATGGTAAACCTTGGGTGCTTTTAACCAATTACTAAGAATTAATAGTAATAATTATTTCTTCCAGTAAAAAAGTGCCAGCTTTTCCAAATATGGGATTTAAGTAGGGAAGATAAGGTTTGTTGAATAGTTACTCCAAATCAGGGGCAGGAACCGTACTTTCTCTTTCTGCCCTCGCTGGGTTCCCCACTTTACAGGCATAAAATAGCTTGTTTATGAACACCAATCTTGTAAGTACAAAACCAAAATTTCATTTCAGGCCAGTGTGACACCAAAACCCTTGTTCTTATTCCAATTTATTTTCCTTGTCCTCCTCTCCATAAGAGCATTCCCATTTGGGCTCGAGAGTCGGCTGTTTTGTTCTCTGAGTCGTCACCCTCACAGGCCCTCAAGCGTAGCTTTTTATTTGTCTAAGATGGGGGTCAGCAAATTTTTTTCTGTAAAGAGAGAAAGATTATTTTCTGCTTTCTAGGCCACATAGTTTCTGTTTTGATTTACTCAACTCTACAGTCAACCGATACCATAATACACTTTTCAATACAATTTTATTTACAAAAACAGATCCAGCTCTTAGGCCAGGCCCCTAGATGCTAAGACAGCCGTCCCTGAGGTCCTTGCCTCCCCTGCACCTCTGCTTGAGGACCAGATAGAAACTTCTGTGCTGATGCATCGTTTTTTCCTCTCTCTCACTATCCCCCCCACTCACAGTTTCATTCTTTTTGGAAAATCTAATTGTTTTCTGTCTTAAAAATGTGTTTTGAATTAAATGCACAATTACACAACAGCTGTTACATAACTTGCAGAGTGGTGCTTGGCCAGGCCTGGACAGCTGTGTTTTGCCACTTTCTTCTGCTCTCAGCTCTGCAGTTGTTTGCGGAGTCACACGCTTGTCCAGGCCGTGGAGGCTCAGTGCTTCAGAGCACACTTGGTCTGTCATCTCATTATTTATATGCTCACTCTTAATCATGTTTTATTGAGTAATTACATAAGAACAGGTCCCTTTATGCCAGATATTACAGAATGTAGGTAAAAGGAACAGCTATGAAACAGCTTACCACACCTGCCCATTAAATTTTTACAAATATTTACCAAGTATCTTCTATGAGGAAAGCATTATGATTAGAGGATCAGGAATTCTCCCACCTTAATCTTACTTGAAGGGCAGATCTTTCTTATCCAGAAACCACAGAGCCTGAGATCTCTGCTTCTGAAATAAATATTGATATCATCCATCTGCTAGAATTTGTCTTGTGGAATAGCATGTTCTTAGGAGTGGTTGTATGGGTAAAAGGCCGAGGAGATCACTTCCCTCCTTTTCAAAGAAAAAATGGCTTTGGTGAGAACACAGGGTCCGGGAAGCCCCACTTCAAGACTGGGTCAAAGCTTGTATATTTTTATATACAATATATATTGTATATTTTAACAGGGTTATGCATCAGAGGATGGGCTGGAAATTAAACTTGGGAGTCATAGATGAAGGATGTTTAATCATCCTTTCCTTCTTAGGGACAAGTTAAATTACACACACACCCACACACATACACCCCCCCGTGAACGGGTGGGAAGAGAAGCATATTTAATTTTCTTTTAAATCTGACTTTTTCTAGTCCTTGGGACTTCCCTGGTGGCTCAGACGGTAAAGTGTCTGCCTACAATGGGAGAGACCTGGCTTCAGTCCCTGGGTCGGGAAGATCTGGAGAAGGAAATGGCAACCCACTTCAGTATTCTTGCCTGGAAAATCCCATGGACGGACGAGCGTGGTAGGCTACGCTCTCCATGGGTTCTCAAAGAGTTGGACACGACTGAGCGACTTCACTTTCTTCTAGTCCTTGGTGAAAACTGTCACTATTCCAAGAACCATACAGACTAGGTCTTCAACCATGGCTGAAACTGCTATCTCATAGTATAAGGAATCTCTCTAAAACTCCTCTAAAACTCAAGCCTTAGTCACTCAAAAGCTCTTGGGGCCTAAGCTTCTCCTACTCAAATGAGTAACTGAAATGAAAAAACATGCACATTTGACACACATAACTGTATGGTGAAATAAAAAATCGCTGATCTTCACATTTTCTGATTTCAAAATCCAGGATCAATCTGTTGGAGTTGAATTTGCTTTGCTTACTGACATTTGCGGTCCCTAACTCTTCAGTGTCGCCTTCAGCATCACAGGGTGAGTCTGCTGGGTGGTTAACCCAGTGATGGATATGTCCCTTTGCTTTTGCTCACTGTGGTATCAACAGACACCACATGGGTTCATGTGCCTGTTTGGCTTTTAATAATTTGGGAAAAAAATGGATCTTGTTATGTGATAGAATCTGTGCTCGATTGGCAAGTTGGTATTAAAATGGGAGGGGGAAGAAGCATTAGAGTGTGTGAACATATTTTTTTGTGGGCTAATTTCTGTTCATCTGACATCCTTTGCCCATTAGCAGTGTTTTTTTTATTTTTTAACCTTTGATTTCCCCTGCTCCTCACATATCCTATCAATTGTTTTCTCTTTGTCTTGTGTTACTAAGATGGCAGATGTTCCTCTTACCTGATACAATCAGGATACTAACTAATTAGAAGGATAACTAAAAGAAACATATTAAAGCCTCTATAAGACTATTTTAGTGTAAATAGATTTTTTGCTGAACTTCATGGGCCAAATCCATTTCTTAGAACTGGGTCTGCTGCTCGAGCTTGAAATAACCTTGCATAAATAGTGTTCACATTGTTTTTGTTTCCTCAAAATGCAGAAAGAAGTTTAAAGCCATTAAAGACATCTTTGAGGCAATCTGAATGCAGACTACTTTGAGAGTTTTATACATTTTTCTAGTTTTTTGTTAATAATTGTCTTATGTATAGATTGTTATTATGCCAGCGTGTTTCATAATTTGACAAGATGAGTGTTTGCATAACACTCAGTTTTGTTTTCATAGAAATCACTTGCCCTTTCCTCCTAATAAATCAGCAACTTAAATAACATTTAATTCAACCATGCTGTTGAAATACTAGGTTCACATGAATGAGAAGAATTTGTAGCAAAGAGATTTGACTACTGGTAGGCAGAGAAGATACATAAATAACCTCAGATATGCAGATGACACCACCCTTATGGCAGAAAGTGAAGAGGAACTAAAAAGCCTCTTGATGAAAGTAAAAGAGGAGAATGAAAAAGTTGGCTTAAAGCTCAGCATTCAGAAAACTAAGATCATGGCATCTGGTCCCATCACTTCATGGGAAATAGATGGGGAAACAATGGAAACAGTGTCAGACTTTATTTTGGGGGGCTCCAAAATCACTGCGGATGGTGATTGCAGCCATGAAATTAAAAGACGCTTACTCCTTGGAAGGAAAGTTATGACCAAACTAGATAGCATATTAAAAAGCAGAGATATTACTTTGTCAACAAAGGTCTGTTTAGTCAGGGCTATGGTTTTTCCAATTGTCATGTATGGATGTGAGAGTTGGACTGTGAAGAATGCTGAGCGCCAAAGAATTGATGCTTTTGAACTGTGGTGCTGGAGAAGACTCTTGAGAGTCCCTTGGACTGCAAGGATATCCAACCAGTTCATCCTAAAGGAGATAAGTCCTGGGTGTTCATTGAAAGGACTGATGCTGAAGCTGAAACTCCAATACTTTCGTCACCTGATGCGAAGAATTGACTCATTGGAAAAGACCCTGATGCTGGGAGGGATTGGGGGCAGGAGGAGAAGGGGACGACAGGAGATGAGATGGCTGGATAGCATCACCGACTCGATGGACTTGAGTTTGAGTAAACTCCGGGAGTTGGTGATGGACAGGGAGGCCTGGCGTGCTGCGATTCATGGGGTTGCAAAGAGTCAGACATGACTGAGCGACTGAACTGACCTGAAGCAGAGAAGATTGTATCCAAAACAGTATATGCAGACATGAGTGTCAGTACTATTTTTTTCTCTTTTAATTTATTTTTATT